GCTATGAAAATCCTTCTGCAGCACAAGAGTCACTTTCCGTGCCTCTCATCGCACGAGTTCTCTAATGAGATTCGGCCAACTTGCTCTCAGACTGGCAGGCCAGGCCGCCGGTCCGCCGGCCTCGGTCTAAGCGCAAGGTCAGGCCCGTATCCGCGGGTGCCTTCGAACCCAGTCGGCGAGAACGCTTGCTGGGAGACCGGTCCGGTCCGAGGCTGGAGACCGGAGACCGGAGACCGGTCCGAGGGGCCAGCCGCGCCGGAGTTAAACATCTGGACGAGCGATGAGATTGGCAGCTACTGTGCGCTAGGAGGGGTCTTCACGGCCAGGGTAAGCCCATGGTGCCCAAGCCCGTGGGTTTCCATATGGAATGGGTAGAGGGGTGGAGTTGGGTTCAGGTTTGGTGAAAATCGCTGGTATGGGCGCGGGTAAGGTAAGGCGTTTTCGTAATATCCGCTAGATACTTCAAGAAATACCGCACAATGCTGCTGCTGGGGCTTCTTTCTGTCATATGTAACGCCACTCAAAATACTTTTGCGATTATCAACGCCAGAGAGCAGATTTGGGAGTAAGCTTTCCTGCAACTTTTCCATGCTTTAGAACTAAAGTGCTGGAAAATGCAGACGACTGAGCAGCGTATGGGCGGGGGATGACACAACTGATTTGGAGTGGGTAACGGACGCAGGGTGGGCATGGGCACAGTCCCAAGGGTCACGGGTGGATTAGGTGAAGGGGATCTGACTCATGAAAACTTCTAGCCAGGGGTGGTGGCGTTTGCTCCTTCTCCCTATACACCGTCAGCGTTCTTGCCGAGCGGAGCCACTGAAACCAACTGGAAAAGTCACAGCTGCGTGAACGATTGAAGTTTCTGGACTTGGTGCCAGTCAGCTGGGTTCGCTGGATCACCTCCGCTTAGCGCTTAGGCGTGAAGAAATAATTGGTACTTTGGCATAGCATGCTGGTCTACGGTTAAGTTTGTGTGCTTTAGTTTGTTGGTGTCCTATGTCCGGGCCGGGGCGAATCTCTTTCAGTTTGCGGCAACTCCTTTAACTGTCTTTTTTGAAAATTCCCCTCTTTGCCCTCGGAGCGACTCTGGTCCTGTGTTTTGTCATTTCCTTTGCTTGGTCCTGTGGGTTTACGTTCACCCAGGGACCAAACTAACCGCTGCGGACTCCGTCTTTCGTCTTCAGTGTTTGAGCGCTCCCCATTATGGGGTTGAGACGCAATTCTGCACTTGCACATCCTAGCACTGACTCATAACGTATGTGCGCGTGACCTCTGCTATATGCTACGACATGTGTTCTTCCTACGCATGGGGCCTACCTGCGTTTTTTTGGGTGTCCCCCTACTTGGAGTCATGGGTGCCTCCCTATTAGGGTCTGCGGGACACCTAAACCAGGGCTTGGACTCACCTCAACCTGTGTAGGGCCGGAAGTCTTTTTACTTGAACTCTCCCTGCTACGACTCGAAAGCGCCCTCTTCTACAGTGGGGGAACCCTTTGCTTGAAATCCGGGGGGCCCCCTACCAAGACTTGGAACACCTGCCTACTCAAGCTTGAAGGCATCCCCTCACTGTGCTTGGGATGTCTACCTGGGCTTAGGTCACTGCTCTCTAAGCTTGGTGTCATCTTTCCCGAGTTAGAACGTCACTATACTTGGGCTTGGGAAACCCTCTTTCTTGGTTAAGGGTCCCCCACCACCTGGGCTCGAGGGCGCACATTCGGTTGAGCTCAGGGGCCAGGGGCCAGGGGCTTAGGGGCCAGGGGCCTGAGCTGCTTATCCTTTCCAGTATTGCTCCCTTGGATCCACTGCAGGATGACCGCCTGAGTTCGCTGGGAGGGCGCCAAACTTTCAGGTGCTCAAAGGGGCCCACAAGCCCTAAAACGTGCGCCGCATTTGGTGGGCTGCCTATCTATCCAACCTCCAATATGAGGGAAAACTGAACTTGGCCGGTGGAAAAATGTTATGCCGGAGAGTGACAGGTGCGTCTGCCAAGCCCTGGGCTCTTACTTACCCTTGCGCTTTATTTACATTATACAAAACAAAGTGGATGAGGAACTCGGTATGGCAGGTTTGGAGGTAGCCGTAATACTTATTTTCGGTTGGAACAGCCCTTGCCTCACTCAGCAGTTTCTTCCACCCACTCTTCTCAGCATTCTCCGGCGGTGACGGGGACGCCCGAACGGCGAGAAGGAGCGGTGGGACGCGAGAAAAGGCAGCCCGAAAGGCATTCGTCTCTGGACGGCACACGCATTGTCTGACAGCAGACCTGTGCAGATAAAAAGTTGCCTCGCTCTAACCTGATAATGTATTGGATTACAACGCCGCTGTATCATCGTCACCTTTATCGAATCAGTAAACCAACCACGGCAAAGGATGGCGCAGTAGATCTTTGATCGACGAGCGGCCCGCGCTGAGAGCGTTCACAGACAGCCGCATCGCTGCCTCCTCTGACGACGCCGGTCATTTCCCAGGTACGTCGACACCAGTGTGTTTGAGACCATCGACTTCGATAAACGCGCCTGTTTAATAGCCGGTCACACAATGCAAAACGGTGGAGAGCCCACGTGATCTTACGAGAACACCCGCAGTCAGGGTAGCTATCACAAGCGGTAGGACGCTGTCTCTGATTACAAGAGCACGCCTCAGACATGTCAGCCTTCTCAGCGGCCACGCTATCAGCCACCGCTACACGCGCATGGACGTCCCCCTTCGCGACACGGGCGGCTCCATGAAGACCATAAAAAACTACGGTCTAAAAACTACTAGCCACGTCTACGCTGAAACTCGTGCCGTATGGTCTTCCTGCCCGCACCGAAGGCGAACCGCTGAAGTCGACAACCAGGCAATCAGTCACTGACCGTCGCCGACGAGCGAAGGCACAGCCCCAAACACAGCAGTCAGGCTCGTCGGTTTTACACGGTTCAACTGCAACAGACGCCCTTCTAAGTCTCCGCGCGAACCACAATAAAAAATTTCCCCAAGCTCTTCGCATTCATCAATGACGTAAGCATAGCAATCGCACGTCAAATCACAAGGCTTGGAACAGAGCGACCCGAAAATGGCAAAGCTTGCACCTTCGCCATATAACACCCTCTACTGGCTGCACACGCCGCCTGGCGGTAAGGAGGCCTCAACTCCTCGCTGGCGGCGCCGACCCCAGCCACAAAGTGCCCGTGGCCGCACTGAGACCTTGCACACGAGGCCCGTGGCCGCACTGAGACCATCCACACGGGCCCCGTGGCCGCACTGAGACCATCCACACGAGCCCCGTGACCGCACTGAGACCATCCACACGGGCCCGTGACCGCACTGAGACCCTGCACACATATTCTGCGGGCGGCACTGAGACCGTAAACATGAGCTTCGCGGCCCTCGCGCAAATGATCATCTCGCAGCACAAGCCATCACGGTGCATTGGGCACATATAGCATTTGATTTGCTCGAATTATCACATCATGTCTGGACTGGTCAGGCCTCGCTAAAACGTCTTAGTATAAAATGCAGATCAATATATTTTTGTACTTGCATCAAACTGAAATGGCACAGTGCAACAAAATTCCGTCCAATTATGCGGAGCAAAGTGACTTTCGTTATTGTGCTAAAGCGCCAGCGTCATCTGACAACAGATGGATGGTAGGATTCCCAATAGCCTCGCATAGCGTCATGTTATATTGTGCCCAGCTGCGTGTGCAGCATTCCACACATGCTAGCAAAACAAGCCGAAATCGGGTAAAACGCACGCAAGAAACCTTCCCACCTTTCAAAGGCCAAATCCAGTGCAATGCCCCCTTTTCCAATTCTGACCAGGAGAGGACGCATAAATTACGACTGGTACTTAAAAACGTTGCAAGGCGAATTTGAGAAACCAAGCTACAAAGAGACTGCCGACTGCGTCGGAGCGGCTAAGGAGCCCGCTAACCTGTGACGTCACGCACGCGCCGCGGCTGCCCCCGCCGCCAGCAGCGGGCGGCGGAGCGAGGCAGCTCGGCGGAGACCCCTCCCTCCTCCCCCTCACGACTGTCTGACTCACGGCTCCAGCACGCCGGCGGCGATCCGTGGAGCGGCCGCCGGACGATACGGCAGGGGCTGCGCCGACAGCCGTGCTGGCGGCCAGGCAGCCGCGCTCAGGCATACTGCTCGGCGCCCACAGCGTCCCGATGCCTGGCGTCGTTTGTCTACAATTCCACACGCCCGCCGGGAGCGCAGGGGCGCGCGGCGCGCTCCGGACGCCGGCACCGGCCGCCAACTGGGCCCGGGGGGCTTAACACCACCAGTGGAATGTACGCGAATGGCGGAGAAGCACGCGAGGCCGTGATGAAACACGGACGGACTGGCGCGGCGCCCAAGGCCCCCGGCCGCGCCCCATGAGGCACGGACGGACTGCGGCGGAGCATGGTACTCCCAGGCAAACCCCCTCCCGACGCAGTGGACGCCGCGCCCCATGAGGCACGGACGGACTGCGGCGGAGCATGGTACTCCCAGGCAAACCCCTCCCGACGCGGTGGACGCCGCGCCCCATGAGGCGAGGACGGACTGCGACGGAGCATGGCACTCCCAGGCAAACCCCCTCCCGACGCAGTGGACGCCGCGCCCCATGAGGCACGGACGGACTGCGACGGAGCATGGCACTCCCAGGCAAACCCCCTCCCGACGCGGTGGACGCCGCGCCCCATGAGGCACGGACGGACTGCGGCAGAGCATGGTACTCCCAGGCAAACCCCCTCCCGACGCGGTGGACACCGCGCCCCATGAGGCACGGACGGACTGCGACGGAGCATGGCACTCCCAGGCAAACCCCCTCCCGACGCGGTGGACGCCGCGCTCCACGGACTGCAAGCGACCGGCGCGGCGCGGCGCGGCGCGGCGCGACAGACGGCCCTCTGGGAATGCGGGCGGACGGCGCTGTCGGGCGGCCGCGGCGGGGTCCGCCTGGACGGGGACCACGAGCGGCCGGGCCGGGCCGTGACCGGCGGCGCAGGCGGCTGTTGGGCGGCCGCGGCGGGGTGCGCCTGGACGGTGACGACGAGCGGCCAGGCCGGGGCGTGACCGGCGGCGCGGCGGCTCACTAGCCAGCCGGCGATGTCCTTCTCCTCCACGGCGTGGCTGCTCTTCAGGTGTTTGCGCAGGTTGCCGGTGGACCCGCCTGCCGGTGCGGACGCGCTAGTCAGCGGCGTCGGGCTGCGCGGAGGCTGCCGCTGCCGCCAGTGGGCGCGGAACAGCCGCGGCACGCCTGGTCTATCGAGCGCCACCCTCAGGTAAGGCCACGGGCGTGTAGGGCGTGCTGAACGCACCTGGACCGTGCTGTGATGGCCATGCAATGCGAGTGGCTGGGCGACGAAGCGCACCCCGAACTCAGTGTACCAGGGAGCAGACACACCATCTGCAATGTGTATGTTCACGATCGCGTTGCCTACGATGTGCGACTTAACCAAGAACAACGAAGAAAAAGACATTCCAAATCATTTTCCTAGCCGGCGAAGTGACCATGTTCCCCCAGCTGCTGACTGACATAGCGAACCCCACACCGTCTTACCGAGGGAATGAAGCCGTTTTCCGCAGATTTTGCAGGAGGCGGTGCGGTTGCGGTGGTCGGAGCCCTCCTCCTTCTCCAGCAGGTTGTAGTAGAGCCACACCTTGCTGCGGCACCGTGACCCGTACACGGCCGTGCGCACTGGAAAACAGGCCACTGGTCAGGCACCAGGCGGTCACCGACTGGTCGTGAGATCGTTATCAACCGGTCACAAGGCTGTCACCGATTGGTCACAAGGCTGTCACCGATTGGTCACCAGTCTAGTGCTGGCATTTCACCGGGCTGTTACTGATCATCACCAGGCTCTTCATGACCCGTCATCAAGCTGGCATTGGTTCGTCATCAGGCTGTTACTGATGCGTCATCAAGCTGGCGCTGATCCATCATCAGGCTGTTACTGATTTTTCGTCAGGCTGGTACTGATCCGTCATCGGACTGTTACTGACTCTTCATCAGGCTGGTACTGATCCGTCATCACGCTGGCACTGATCCATTATCACGCTTGTGCGGATCCGTCATCAGTCTGGTAATGATGCGTCATCAAGCTGGTGCTCAGGCTGGTACTGATCCGTCATCACACTTGCACTGATCCGTCGTCAGGCTGGTACTGATCCGTCAACAGAGTGGGATTGACCAGTCATCATGCTGGGTCTGATCCGTCATCAGGCTGGTACTGATCCGTCATCATGCTAGTACTGGTCCGTCATCAGAATGGCACTGATCCGTCATCAGGATGGTACTGGTCCAACATCAGGCTGTTACTGATCCGTTATCAGACTGTTACTGATTCTTCGTCAGGCTGGTACTGGTCCGTCATCACGCTGGCACTGATCCGTTATCACGCTGGTGCGGATCCGTCATCAGTCTGGTAATGATGCGTCATCAAGCTGGCATTGAACCGTCATCAAGATGGTACTCAGGCTGGTACTGATCCGTCATCACACTTGTACTGATCCATCATCAGGCTGGTACAGATCCGTCATCATACTGTTACTGATTCTTCGTCAGGTTGGACTGATCCGTCATCAGGATGGTATTGATCCGTCATCACGCTGGTACTGATCCGTTATTACGCTGGTGCGGATCTGTCATCAGTCTGGTAATGATGCGTCATCAAGCTGGCACTGAACCAGTCATCAAGCTGGTGCTCAGGCTGGTATTGATCCGTCATCACACTTGTACTGATCCGTCGTCAGGCTGGTACTGATCCGTCATCAGAGTGGCATTGACCAGTCATCATACTGGTACTGATCCGTCATCAGGCTAATACTGATTCGTCATCAGCGCTGGTTCTGATCCGTCATCAGGCTGGTACTGATCCGTCATCATGTCAGTACGAACAAGTGCCACACCAACGGAACTACCCGGCGCCAACAGCCTGGTACTGACCCGCCGCCAAGCTTATACTGCTGCCAGCAACCTGAAGTCCTGAAGCTTTTATCAAGCTTCTCTGCTGCCGATCTATTATCGGGGTGCTAACAGTAGGTCACCAAGATGTTGTTAGTGGGTGTGTTGAACGGGCACCAGGATGTTGCTGCCTAGCCACTTGCTGAAAATGATTGCTCACCAAGAGGCTGCTGACGGGTTACCAGGATACTACGTGTTTCATTCCGACTTAACGACGCACTCAGCTGCTGAGGCTATATGGCGTCGTCTGCTTCTCACCCTGGCAGAAAGGGCGGGCACCGCGGGGAATCGAACCCATACCTCTGGTTTCCCGAACACGCAGTGGTTAAGGCACACGCGTTAACCACTGTACTATCGGCACCTCCGGCTGCCAGGATACCACTAATGAGTTACCAGGATACCACTGATTTATCTCCCGGCTGGCACTGATCAGTCCCCGGCCTGTTTTTAGTTAGACAGTAGACCGTTTTGAACTGTCTTGTCACCGGGAAGTTACTGGCTGGCAGCTACTGTTTTTATAACGGTTTTGCTAGCTGGCTGTAGTCTTGAAGCACGCCGAACTTCAACACCCGCGACGCTGCTCGGCTCAGCGACTGTGACGAACCTACTCTATACTTGGAAGCGCCCACGTGGCGAGACAAGAACCGGGGCGACGGGCCGAGCTCAGACCGACTACGACCCCAGTGCTGTCTTCTTCACGCACCCGGAACCAGTTAACACTGTACTGTGCCGCCCAACCGACACACAGCACTGCATGTGACAGTTTCGGCACCAAAGTAGGCTACGTGCCAGAAACAACATACCCTGCAACAACATGCCCTGCTCCAACGCGCCGGGAGTCCCCTGTTCTGCCCGCACCAGGAATTGCCTTCTCTATCCACACCAGGAACCCCTGCTCTGCCCGCACCAGGAATCACCTGCTCTGCGTTGCTCAGCAGCAGGAATCACCTGCGCCCTCTTGGTGCAACGAACCCGCCGCTTTGGCCCAGTCCAGGGATGAGCCCACCCGGGCCAGGCACAGCCACCGGACCGGACCACCGGCCGGCGCGCGTCCGACAGACCCCGACAACGAAACCCCTGCTTTGGCCCAGTCCAGGGATGAGCCCACCCGGGCCAGGCACAGCCACCGGACCGGACCACCGGCCGGCGCGTGTCCGACAAACCCCGACACAGTCTCGGAGACAGCCAGCGCGCGTCCGACAGACCCCGACACAGTCTCGGAGACAGCCGGCGCGCGTCCGACAGACCCCGACACAGTCTCGGAGACAAGCCACCCGCGCGGTCTCCGACAGACACCCGAGCAACAGTCTCGGAGACAGCCGGCGCGCGTCCGACAGACCCCGACACAGTCTCGGAGACAGCCGGCGCGCGTCCGACAGACCCCGACACAGTCTCGGAGACAGCCGGCGCGCGTCCGACAGACCCCGACACAGTCTCGGAGACAGCCGGCGCGGCGCAGACGGCCGACCATCAACCCGTCTCGATGTCGGGCAGGCAATTATCCGCACAGCCTAGGCCGATTCAAACGTCTGAGCCGCGTCGGCTTATGATGAGAATATGACTACGAGGAACCGACTCAGGACGCACGAGTCAGGGGCAGGCGCTGTGACCGCGCCTCATCTCGTCTTTGGAAGTGGAAGGGAGGGAGGGAGGGCTCTGATGCTAGGAAACCGCACAGCGCCTGCTACCTGCGTCCGACACCTGGCCTGTCGCGGCCCGCTGCCCCATGGATTGGTCGTGCTGGCGTGCCGTACCTCTCGGAGCCTCGCTGCACGCTGCTCAACCAGTTCTAAGTTTTCCTCTTCTTGCATTTGCTTTTTATGGTAGGGGCTGATGTTTATGTTTATGCCTCTTGTTTCTTTTAGACGCCGAATTACGTGGATCACGGCTTCACGCACATACGCGCGCTCAAAATTCGTGTTTGGCGGTGGCCAATGGGTTGTAATAGCCGATGACCTTGTCACGGGCGTCACCAACACCGTGCCGTGCCAGTGACACGCGAGGGTTTTGCCCGGAGTAAACAAAAATAGTTGACACGTGCAATGAGTACTGACAAACGTTGGCAAGCCACCCGTTTGTGCGCTGGAGGCGGGCACTCCCGAACGGCAGCCGGTCACCATCAGCGTGATTTGTAGCGCTGGCTATTTGCCAGCAGAGAAAGTGAGTGCGGCTGTCATTACATGGCGCCTTCCGGCAGGAGTTTGGACGCGTTATTTGAACGCCTAGTCACGGGCGTGGGAGTGGATCAACTGCCGCCGAGCATTAGGCGCACGGCCGGCCTCTTTCGAATGCATGTATAATTGCGTAGCAGGCAGATTTTGAAACTGCGTGGCACTTGTCTGGCACTCTCATCATCGAGCTTACCTCACCAGCGATCGCGAGTCCTTTCTAAAAAAGAGGATCGTTCAAAAAACACTACACAATTGGTCTACCTCACCCGGGTAAATCCGGTAGACAAAGCGACAGAGACGGCACAAACAAAACACTTCACCCCGGGTGTCCCTTTGTGTACGTAGGGGGGGGGGGGGGCGGGGCTGTAAGCCCCCCGATGCTGCTGGAACCACCTCAATGCTTTTCTGAGCCGCCCGTACATATGAGCAATAGGAAGAATACTGGACCACTGAAATGCAGAGAGCCTGAACTTCTGAACTGCAGATACACTAGGTAGGTAAACGCACCACATCAATATCATCAGCATACATCATCATTATCACTACCACATCCGTTTCAAATGGGCGGTCATACCTGAACATCGAAACCATTTTGAAACCAACCGAATATCTTTGAATATTTATGTTGATGTTTTTGTTGTTGTTAATTATGTTGATGATATGTTATCAGGGGGCACAAATCAAAGTGGCCGAGGTCCGGGGGAATCCGAATTTGTGGGCATGTTCGGTCAACTTGATTGGCTCAGCCCCGCCCCAACCGATTTTAGAGTAACACCCCTCACTGCACCACCAGCACTCAACCCACACCTATTCTTGCGGTGTCAAACTCGCGACGCCGGCTATCTACGCCCAAGTTTTAGGCTGCGATATTACGGAAGACCTGTGTCACCTCGTCGCAGCGCACCGCACTTAACGCCCATCACGCCGCTGCCGCCGTCTCCTCCGCCGCCCGGCCACCACCAGCGTGGTGGCCAGGCCGGGCGCCGCAGCCGGCCGGCCGCCGCGCGGTCGGAGGCCGCTCGTCGCGGGTCCCGCAGGACAGCGGCGGCGGCGGCGGCGGCGGTGGCGGGCGGCGCGGGGGCGTGGGCGGCGCCGGGGGTGTCGGGCCCGGCGTCAGCGGCCGCCGGCCCCACCATCCGTCAGCCGCGGCCGTCATGCGCCGGCGCCGCGTAATGACTGAGTGCGTGCCGAGGCAGGCTGGCACCGGCGTCGTGCAATGACGGAATATGTGCGGCGTGTATAGGCGCTGAGCGATGACGGAACGCGCACAGGAGACGCGTGAAATGACGTCACGTAATGATGGCATCCTGGGGAGGAGCGGAGGCTGACACCGGCACTGTGTAATGACAGGGGCGGTGGTAGGAGGTCGATCCAGTACGGCACCAGCTCCAGGCGACGCCGAGCGGAAAACCAAGCAATCCGAAATGTATTGGGGAGATACCGGTAGGAGCCACGCCAACGGCGGGGTTAAGCCGCTAAGCCCAGACCGGGAAGTTGAGAAGGGACGAGGCTGGTCGAGCGTCGTCAGCGCGGAAATCGGCGCATGAAGAGCGCCTCCGCCCG